GTCGGCCAGTCCGAGCGTCCGTGCAGTGGGTCACCCGCTGACTCCCAGGAGTGAACTGGTGAACCCCCGCATCCTGTAGGTCAGCACCACTCACCAAGTTCGTAGAGAACGAGGGGAGGTAAAGACCAGACAGGGTGCCAGAGGGGGCCGCCGGACACGGGAGGACAGTGGAGAAGTGAGCAAGGACAGGACCCCCAGAGGGGTCTGCCAGAGAGACCGCAACTGGCCGGCCAAGCGGCGTGAGTGTGGTGCGGTCTCGAAAGAAGGAGCGAGAAGCCCCCGAGTCAAGGGTGAAGGTGTGGGAGGCCGAGGCCGACGCAGAACCTGAGAGAGCAGACTCACCAGCACCTGAGGGAGCAGACGCACCTAGAGCAGCAGCCTCGCTAGCACCTAGAGCAGCAGCCTCACCAGTACCTAGAGCAGCAGTCTCAATGCCCGGGTCGGGCGGAAAACACCGGTAACAGTCACCCTCATCACTAATAGTCACAGTATACATGGCAGCAAGAATAGCATCAAAGTCAAGGTCAAAGACAGCCACACCCGCCCTAGACAGCTCACCCCAGCGGGGGATCTCAGTGGCCTCAGGGAACTGGTGACGCCAAGCGTCCGTCAGGCGGCCAAAGCAGCGCTGGGTGGAGTGCGCACCCCCGCACTGCTCACCCGCGCGGTCGCCGGTGCGGAGGACGTAGGTGCACGGACCAGTACCCCCACCCCTCTGGCGTGCAGCGTACCACTCACGGAGCTGCTGAGGGGAGGGGATGTCACGAGTGCGCTGCTGCTGCTGCTGCTGCTGCTGGCGCTGACCACCACCGGAGCCGACTCTCTGCGCAGCGCCACCCCGACCAGCTCCACCTCCTCCGCCGCCTCCTCCTCCACCGCCGCCACCTCCGCTCCCACCGCCACCGCCGCCGCCGCCTCCGCCTCCACTGCCACCACCGACACCTCCACCCCCGCCACCACCCCCACCGCCACCCCCACCCCCTCCACCGCCTCCACCGCCGCCTCCACCGCCCCCGCTAGCTCCTCCAGTGCCCCTGCCCCCCTTGCCCTTGCCAGGGCGGCGTCTCCCGCTAGGGGTAGACGCCGCACCGACCGACTCAAGCCCAACGAGGTCGGCCGCAGCAGCAGAGGCAACAGAGGGCAAAAGGGGGGAGGGGGAACACCCCTCAAAGATGGGGGTGCGAGGGTCACCACGAGAGGCTCCTACAGCTACTATGCTCTTCTCTGCTGCTAGGAGGGACTTCTCGAGGAGGTCAACGGTGAGAGTGGTGGGGCAAACATAGAGGAAGTGGTCCCTGACTACGCGAAGGAAGTCAGGGAGCCGGGTGACTATGTAGTAGAGGGTGATGTACATGGGGGGGGGGTTCTTGGCGCAGAACTCTGCAGGAAGCGCAGCGCGGTAGCGAGTGTCACTAGTGCGGAGGTGCGTAATGAGGTCAGCGACTGTGGGAAAGGCAGCAAGGTCAGGGAAGAGGTACGGTAGCATGAGGCGGCTAAGTGCAGCAGTGGCAGGGGAGGAGTAGCGCGCAACTACAGCGTCGTACAAGGTCTGAGCACTCTTGTACTGGCTAAAGTGCGCACGCTCAGAGGTAGGTAGGTGGCGACGCACAGCAAGACGTGCAGCAGCATCGCGCGTGGCCCACTGGGAGCGAACAGTGGCGTCAGCAGCAGCAGCGGGGGCAGGAGAGGCACCAGAAGTGAGGTCAAAGAGGGAGAGGCCGTCTGCCCTGTCGCACTGTAAGAAAAGCTGCAGGTCATCTATCCAGACGTCAAAGTCAATGGCCCGACCCTCAGCGTCAAAAGCGAGGACACTAGGGGTAGCCATGACAGCAGTAGACTAGCAGCGCAAACAGTAGGGTGAGGGCAGTGCTGTGAAAGGGGCGCTGCTCTTACCGGACAGGGCGGCTCGGGTGGCTCGGCTGTAGGGCGGCTCGGCGGCTCGGTTGCTGGGCGGCTCGGCGGCTCGGCTGCTGGGCGGCTCGGCGGCTCGGCTGCTGGGCGGCTCGGCGGCTCGGCTGCTGGGCGGCTCGGCTGCTGGGCGGCTCGGCTGCTGGGCGGCTCGGCTGCTGGGCGGCTCGGCTGCTGGGCGGCTCGGCGGCTGGGCGGCTTGGCTGCTGGGCGGCTCGGCGGGGCCGCTGAGAGGGCGGCGTCCGGGGCCGCTGGGAGGAGGCGGCGGGGCCGCTGAGAGGAGGCGGCGGGGCCGCAAAGGTAGGTGGCGGGGCCGCAGGTAGGTGGCGGGGCCGCTAGTAGGTGGCGGGGCCGCATGTAGGTGGCGGGGCCGCTGGTAGATGGCGGGGCCGCACAGGCAAGTGGCGGGGCCGCGGAGGTAGGTGGCGGGGCCACACAGGTAGGTGGCGGGGCCGCGGAGGTAGGTGGCGGGGCCGCACAGTGAGGTGGCGGGGCCGCGAAGGTAGGTGGCGGGGCCGCACAGGTAGGTGGCGGGGCCGCGGAGGTAGGTGGCGGGGCCGCACAGGTAGGTGGCGGGGCCGCGAAGGTAGGTGGCGGGGCCGCACAGGTAGGTGGCGGGGCCGCGGAGGTAGGTGGCGGGGCCGCACAGTTAGGTGGCGGGGCCGCGAAGGTAGGTGGCGGGGCCGCACAGGTAGGTGGCGGGGCCGCGGAGGTAGGTGGCGGGGCCGCACAGGTAGGTGGCGGGGCCGCGAAGGTAGGTGGCGGGGCCGCGTAAGGTGGCGACGGGCGCGACGGGCGCGACGGGCGCGACGGGCGCGACAGGCGCAACGGGCGCGACGGGCCGAAAGGGCGGCGCGAAGGGCCGTAGGGGCGGCGCGACTCGGGCCGGAGCAAAACGCGCTCCGGGCAGGAAAAAAAAATAATTTCGTGGTGGTGGGCCCTAGGAATCGTTCCCACTAGGGAACCTGCTCGATACCATGAGAAGAAACGAGGAATGAAATGACAGTGAAAGTTGGGTACAAAAAGCAAACCCTAGAAAACTGTACCCCATATGTGCCACCCCACTATAGCCTACAGTAGCTATGTCATATAAATCTGACAAGCAGTAGTAGCTAAACCCGTCCCAGTGTTAACCATATGGCCTTCCCTTCCAGGAGTGCAGGAAAAGGCAATCACACTGCACTGACGACACCGCTGCAGCACGCAGCATGCACTGCACAGCAATCCGCTCCCACCACCTTTTCTGTGCTGGAAACACTAAAACTGTACGGTCGCAACCGTCTACACCTGGTACCCCACCCAACACCCTGATGTTTTTCGGACCAGCGGTAATCGCCCTGGCCAGAGCCGTGGCTGCTGCAGCATGCAGCAAGCAAGGCAAAACCCAGGGCTGGAAGGAAGCTGTAGCAGATAGCCTTTAGCAGAGAGACAGTGACAGGTAGCAGTGTGAGTGGATGAGAGCGAGGGAGATGAGAATACAAAGGGAGGGACGTGGGAAGAGAGGGAGGGGAGGGGAGGGGAGGGGAGCGAGATTACTTTGGAAAGCAGATAGTGGGGAAGGGGGGGGAGAAGGAGGAGACCCGGAGTTAGTGAGAGGATGTGAGCAATGAAGGAGATGACTGGGCTGTTAGCGAGAACAAGGTAAGAGAAAGAAGGCGAGGAGCTTCAGTATGGCAGGAAGAGGGAGCAGTATGAGAGGCGGTTGGCAGAGGCAGTTGGCGGAGGAAGAGGCGGTTGAGAAGCGGTTGGCAGAGGCGGTTGGCATTGGCACTATTGCGACTTGGATAGCACTGGACGAGTCATCACTGTGACATGGCTCCTGCACCTGGTGGCGGCCCCATGGTAGGCATCATAGCCATGGGCATCGGCATGGGCATACCCATGGGCATGCCAGGCGCTCCCCTCATCGGCCCCATCCCCCCCATTCCCCCCATGCCCCCCATGCTCCCCATGCCCCCCATCCCTCCCATCCCTCCCATGCTTCCCATGCCCCCCATGCCTCCCATTCCTCCCATTCCTGCTGCTCCCATGGCTGTAGCGGGGAGGCCTGGCATGGCTATAGCAGGGGCGGCTGTCGCGGGCATGCCTGTAGCACCCAGCATGGGTGTGGCAGCAGCCGGGCCTGTTCCTGCTGGTAGGCCGGCTGTAGCATGGACGGCTGTAACGGGGAAGGTTGTAGCGTGGATGGTTGTAGCGGGGAGGCCAGGCGGCATGGAGATGGGGATGAGGGAGGAGGATGGGGAGGGCGAGAGGACTTGGCAGGCGAGGTCTAGGTTAGGCTTGACTGGGAGAGGTGGCATCTGGCTCATTGTACCGGGGACTGAGGTCATCCTGTAACGAGGACAGGCCAAGAGGGCGGGAGGGGAGAAGATAGGTGTAAGCAAGGATTGACTGGGAGAGGTGGCATCTTCATTGTACCGGGAACTGAGGTCATTCTGTATTGAGGACATGTTAAATGGGTGGAAGCGGAGGAGGGTACGAGAGCGGCATGAGCATGTGTACTTTTGAGTTGTGTTCGGGGAGTGGGGTTAACCGAGTGAAGCGACCGAGTGAGGGTGGGGGGTAACCGAGTGGTGTGAGGGGTTGAGAGAGCTATGTTCGTTGAGGCTAAGCGACAGGTGTGCGGGAATGGGGGGCGTGCTTTTATCCATGAACAACTGAGAGGATGTTGTCTCTCAGCCGAATCAAAGAGAGGTGTGTGCGTGTGAGGTGAAGGAGGGGAGATGACATCCTTAGAGAAAGGAGGGCAGAATAGGGCGTGCACTCACCCATGAACAACCGAGAGGATGTTGTCTCTCAGCCGAATCAAGAGGCCGTTGCACTCTTGCGACTGGGAGGGAGTGGGAAAGCAGCAGAGGCAGAGCAGCAGCAGCAGCAGCAGCAGCAGCAGCAGCAGCAGCAGCAGCAGAAGGAGCAAGATATCAGCAGAAAAGTCAGTGTTCCTACTCAGCAAGAAGTAACAGGTGGAGGCAGGTGGAGGAATGAATGAAGTCCTTAAGGTAAGTGTACCAGGTTACCCCCCATCACAACAGCGGCCGGCATGGCATGTGATGAGGCGATTTTTGAGTCGACTAAAAAAAGGTTACCCCCCATCACAACAGCGGCCGGCATGGCATGCCCACCTTGTTTGCCGCCAGTGCCGCCTTGACTTGAGAGATGAGCTCCACGTTCTGATCGACCAGCTTCGTGAATTTCAAGTCGTCTGAAAACGCTCAACTTGTGACTCATGAGTCGACTAAAAACGCTCACCTTGTTTGCGGCCAGTGCGGCCTTGACTTGAGAGATGAGGTCCACGTTCTGCTCGAGCAGCTTGTCGGGTGATAGATCCCCTGTGAGGGGAGGGGAGAGGAGAGGAGAGGAGAGGAGAGGAGAGGAAACGAGAGGAGGGGAGAGGAGAGGAGACGCAACGGGTCGACTTTAGAGGCGCCTCAAAGGGACTTGGGAGATGAGGTCCACGTTCTGTTCGAGTAGCTTGTCGGGTGATAGATCCCCTGTGAGAGAGGAGAGGAGAGGAAAGGCAGCGGGGATCAACGGCGAGAATGGCTCCAGTTCGGTCTGAATGACAGTCAGGCAGGCAACGTATAGAATAATCAGAAATAGCAGCCATTGATAGGGCAAGGCATCAGAAATGTGAAGGCGGAGCGGATGGAATCGGCCCAAATGACAGGCAAGCAGGGTAACGAGTCAGGGAGCATGCGATGAGGCATCGGAAAAGAAAAAGACGTGCACCAAATTCATGGGAAAGGCGATTTTTTAGTCGACTCAAAAATCGCCTCTTCACACAACGACATGCACCAAATTCATGGGAAAGGCACACAGAGAGCGGGGTGGAACGAGGCTACTTGGTCTGTGTGGAATGGGATGGGAATGGGGGAGACTTTTGAGTCGACTCAAAAATTGTCTCGAAAAGGCACAGAGAGCGGGTTGCAACGAGGCTACTTCGATTGCATGGAATGGAGTGGGAATGGGAGGCGGAGAGATGGAGGGGGGGCAAATGAAGGGGGGTTGGGGAAATGGAGAAGGGGAAGGGGGGGGTTGGGAAATTAAGGGGGGCACAACAGACGTACCGGATAGCAAGCTGCCACTGTTGTCAGCACCGTCTGTATGTGTGTCAGCAGCACCACACCCATCACCACCACCTCCCCCTGCTGCTGCTGCCCCAGATACACCTGCACCAGATGCGCCTCCCCCTGCCCCTTGCGCCCCAGCACCATCCCCAGCACCTGCAGCTTCCACCTTGACCATACCCGCCCCCCCTGCCCTCGCCGCCCCACCTCCTGCAGCGCTTCCGCCTGTTCCCCCTCCCCCGCCTGCCCCTGCTCCTCCCCCTCCTGCTGCTGCGGGTTCCCCTGCTGCTGCTGCCTGCATTCGTTGCTGCTGGTCCTTGTCCTGTGTGGGAACAGCAGCAGGAGGAGGGACGTCGGAAATGTGAGGACGTGAAATTGCAGTAGAATGGGGATGGAAGTGGGATGGATGGAAACGATAGTATAGACAAACAAAGAGAAGCGCAGTTCAGAAGTTGTTTGGAGGCAGAGAGGAACACAGAGGCGGAGACAGAGTGAGAGTGAGAGACGCAAAGGCAAAGAGAGGGAGAGAGTAGGAGAGAGGGTGAGAGAGAGGGAGAGGAGTGTGCTTGCCTTTTTGTCCTTTTGCTTCTTGGCTGCTGTGATCTTCTGCCCTTCGCCTCTTCCCCGCCTTAGAGAATTCTCAAAAGCGACTCAGATATAGAGGTTGGGGGGGGAGAGAGGGAGAGGAGTGTGCTTGCCTTTTTGTCCTTTTGCTTCTTGGCTGCTGTGATCTCCTCCGCCCTCCGCCTCTTGCCCGCCTCCTTCCTCTGCTCACAGGGGCGAGCAATCAGACGATACGGAGCGGACAGAACGAGGGAGGGATGAGACTAAATTTGACACGCCTGAAAAGATGCTTTCCGCCTCTGGCCCGCCTCCTTCCTCTGCGCCACAGGGGCGAGAAAGCAGACGACAGGGAGGGGACAGCGGGATGCAGGATGCACGAGACATGGGGTATTGGACAGGGAAAGAGCTGACTTTCGAGTCGACTCAAAAGTCAACTCGCAATCAGACGATATGGAGGGGACAGCGGGATGCACGAGACACGGGGTACTGGACCGGGAAAGAGCGAGAGAGGGAGAGTGGGAGAGAGGGAGCGAGAGAGGGTGCGAAGGAAGGCTATATCTGGTGCAGCGATGCCACAACAACGAGTCGACGCACTGCACCAGATATCACCTCCCCCAGGTGTGGCCTTTGAGGAAGGCACCTCAAAAGTCAAACCACCGCTTCAGATATCACCTTCCCCAGGTGTGGCCTTCCCTTCCCTAGCAGATATCCCTGGTGGGAGCAGGGGGAACAGAGCAAAAAATGGGGAGAAAATATTGCCTGGATATTTGTGACGCCTCAAAGCTTAACCGGCAGAGACGCCGCGATCTTGAGGTAGCGCTGGGCGGGGGTGAACTGATCTGCGGGGAACCTGGGGGTGGGGATGGCGGAGGGGGGAGGGAGGGGGTGGAAGGGGAGGGGGAAGGGAATGGGAAATTAGTCCCCCTGCCCCCAGGGGAAGATGAGAGAACCGAGACAGCTGTAGGCGCGCGACGTTGAGGTAGCGCTGCGCGGGGGGGAACTGATCAAGGGGGGAACTGGGGGTGACAAGGTCGGAGGGGGGAAGAGGGAGGGAAGGGACGGGAGGATGGAAAGGCATTTGGCATTCGGCCGTGAGAGAGCGGTAGAAGAAAGATGCAAACGTGCGAACCGGAGGTAGCGCTGGGTGGCGGGGAGGAACCTAAACGGGAGGGAAGCGGATTGGGTGGATGCACGAGTGTCTGTGTGGGAGTCAATCAACGGATTCTAACAAAAGAAAGCACGGTTCTGTGCATGCACACGGTTTCTTTCCCCGCTGGGTGGCGGGGGGGGCCTGGACGGGAGGGATTCGGGACGGATGGATGTAGGGGCATTTGGGTGGGGATTCATGGGTTACAACAGCAAAGGTTCAATGAATGCCCTCCACACGGTATCTTCCCCTGTAACGGCAGTAACGGGATTAACGGATTGGATGGATGTAAGGCCATGGTTCGATGCATGCACTGCACAAGGTATCTTCCCCTGTAACTGAACATCCATTGATCAAACGTCGCTCAAAGGCGGGTTCAATCGTCCACCCTCTCACTACATTCGCGCATCGCCTAGGAGAACATAAATCCAACGGTCACTGTGACCGACCTTCGCTTGCAACACTGCACGTAAGCTGCGTACACTTATCACCAAGGGACCAAGAACCGAGCAGAGGCGGGGTTTAGGGTTCTAGACGACCACTACATTCATCACGCGGGGTCATTGCTGAACGACGCGGGACGTTCATCAAATGGGTTTCTTGTCCAAACGTACGCGTTCGCAACGACATTGTCCGACCTGCTGTGACAACACCTATCTCGAACGACGGAGGATCAAGTGCACTGAAAAGCGCGGGTGGCGAATCGGTCGATAGCGGTTCTAGGCAACTCGCCTCTGGCACGAATATCAGCGTCAGGTGAAGGCAACGACGCGAGAACTCTGCGACTACACGGTCGTGCAACGTCGCACCCTCGAACGAGCCAACCGAACCCTTCAGCGACTTTCCGAACTCTAACCCGTTCAGGTGTAGCAGTAGAATCGCGTCCTCCTCTACGTTTCCCTCGTAATCTCTCTCTCTAATATGGAAAAAATCAGCCAATCAGAGCCCCACCTTGCGAGCCCTTGATCCAGCAGCCGTTGCTCCTCAGCCGTCCATGCTTCCGACAAGTACGGGAAGTGCAACAGCTGAAGCTGCAAGTGCAGCGGCGGAGGAGACGGCGGCGCGGGAAGCGGCGGCGGCGGCGGCGGCGGCGGCGATGGCGTCGCCGCCCGCGCCGGTGCCGCCGTTGCAGCAGCGGCGGCTGCTGCTGCTGACGGCGATCTTTGAGGCGCTTCGGAAAAGGCGGCGACAGAAGGCGAGTCGTGAGGCGCCTCAGAGAATGCGGCGGCGGACGGCGCGGGTGGTGCCCTTGCGGCGTCCGGCGAAGCCGCAGCTGCGGCAACGGCAGCTGAGATGGCGGCGGGGGAAGCTTGCGCCTTGCCCGATGCAGGCTGCGGTTTGGCGGAAGCAGTTTGCGCTTTGGCGGAAGCAGGCTGCGCTTTGGCGGAAGCAGGCTGCGCTTTGGCAGAAGCAGGCTGCGCTTTGGCGGAAGAAAGCTGAACTTTAGCCGATGACGAGGGGGTGGTAGAGGGGAGCTTGGGTCGGGGAGCGGGAGGAGCGGGAGGAGCGGCGGCCGCTTGCATGTAGCCGTTGGAGGAAGGCGCTTCTCCATTGGCCATCGACGAGCCTCCATCAACACGAGCCTCGCCGCAGCGACGAGCTTTCGCAAAACGCGAACATTCGCGAAATGCGTTTTTTTGCTAAGAACGATTATCCGCGTGTATTCGATCAGGGATGGAGCTAAGTAAAATAAGACGATGAAGTCAATTATATTAGAGAAAACTACGAAAACATAATGTTGAGAAATAGGAGTTCAGTTGGAATGTCAAAAACGAGAATGCCGTACTTCTAGCTGAAGCCGAGGCGCACTAGTTTGAGCTCCCACTACATTGGAATGTCTAGAAATAATTTACTTGTCACTGGTAGGACCATACATCAACCTTGATTTGCCGTACATGGGACTATCTCTAATTTTAGGTTTGGTTCGGATGTGCCGGAGAGTCCACCCAACCGAACCAGGAGGCACATGTGGCACAAGCCCAGGAAGCACGACACGACATGCTCATGCCATAACTGATGGGGGTTTGAGCTTCTCCCTATTCTCTCTCCTATCCCTCGTCGCTTGGGAACCCCAAGGAGAGACAGCGCAGCACAGCAGGGAGCAGGTGTTGATGCTGTCATGTTGTGATGTTTTGTTGGCTGTCCGTGCAAGCCTCGGGATTTGGGAATGTGGTGAAGTGGGGAGTTCAGAGTTCGAAGTGGGGAGGGAGGGAGAACTAGGAGGGAAAAGCGAGTTCAGTTCCCCAAAACACTTGGAGACCTCGATGCTAGCAGCCTTGCAGTTTGTCGAGTCGAATCAAAACGTTTTCTGGTATTCCCAGAGGTCAGGAGAATGCCGAAATTTTCACCGTGACAACTGTGCTAAGGTTAGACCCTGCACGTGCGTTTTGGTGATTCGTTGAACGACTCAAAGCAAACGACTCCAAGTGTGACGAGGGAGCCGTGATGCCCCTCCATCCAGTATTGAGAGAGAGGGAGGGACCCAAGTGGAACGGTTGTGATGCTGGTTGTGACATACAGTTAGACTTCTTCCCACTAGTTCTGGGTGGATCTTCAGAATTCACAAGAAAATAAAAAAAGTAGCACTCTGTTTTGAACAGTTTATGTAAAAATCTCTCACGAATTTGGTGGCGTCTCCAAACCTGGTGACTGTACCAAAAGCCAAAGGGCAAGCGTTTCTTGGTTCGGAAAAAGCGGGAGATTCAAGAAAAGTGAAAGTATTAATCTGACGTGGAAATGACGTGGCTGCACCTGCCATCCGCAAACGGCGCCCACGCCGCCATCACCATCATCGTCACGTTTGACTGCAACAAGAGCAGCCTCTTTTGGAATTCCCACGAATAGCGGAATATAGTCATGAATATATGCACAACCGAATACAGAAACAAAATCTCTGAAATGAATGTATGTAGCATTGAATTAAAAATGCTTGATTTTCCACTAAAAATGAGAATTGTTCAGCACTGTTCATGTCCTCTCCGGAATTAGTCTCGTTCATTTTATGCGCCCATAGGTTCATAATAGTTGTACTGGTGCTGTTATGACTATAACAATTTCGTAACTTTTTGCTACAGAGCGTATGGCCGAGGCCAGAAGATCGACGCGTGGGCTAGGTGCTGTGGCACAGATTCGTCATGGTTCTCTGTAGTGTGCGCGACGCACCAAACCAGGCCCCCAGCAGGCCTGTTGATTCACGGACATTTGTCTCTCTCCTTATCTCATCCCTCTTACAGATAAGGAGAGAGACACTTACTGATCGGTACAGTAACCACGAGATTCGACTCGGGAAAGCGTGAACCTCGGACAAGCGGGTAGAGCTTCACAGACGAATTCGCGTTTGAGTTCAGTTCACTCACAATGCGGAATGCGGATTTGTCAGATGGGTAGAGCTGTCAAGCAAGAGTCGCTAAGATCGGTCTAATTGAAGCGAACCTTGTTACAACTTGTCAGCATTGCAGCAGTCTCCGTAAGGGTTCGCGCTCCAATATAAGTGATTCGGCACTATTTTGACTTGTGCACTTGATTCGGCGCAAGGTCACTTCAATTTTGAGGCGACAGCGTAACGTAACAGTGATAAATCTGAGCGCGACATACGCAGGAAGAACATTCGTGATCAGCCAATCGCCATGCCGCTAACTGCAGCTGAGCGTTTGGCGAAAGTGGTGAACTGGCAGCAGGTGGCAATCGTGTCAGCGGTCCTGATCGCCACCGTTATAATCACAAGCCAATGCTGTAAGCCCCGACGCCCGCGTTGCTCTTTTCTCGTCTCACATCCACTACTTTAATTTGAAGACGTCAGCACACCCTCAGTCAACTTGGGGGAGCAACCATTACTAATCTCGTTGGGGAAATTCTGTTATTATGACGACGTAATAGCGTTCCCATACCACATTCAGTCTCATCGCGTATATCCTTAACGTTCCCATCCTTCTCCCTTTGTTCAACTCATATCGCGAATGCACTGTGCAGACACGGCATCGTGGAATGGCAGTTTGAGCCGATCATCTGACGACTGCACCATCACTGCCAGTGACCAACAAGACTCCAAAAAACCCTCGAGATTCCACATTCAGGACTACGGCCTCCAGGGACCCATCCCCTGGACGTACATCCGACCGTCCGTCCGCGATGCCTTCACAGTCAACGGCTCGATCCGGACCGTTGAAGCTTTCCGTGGGACGGATCTGGACGACTCCGGAGCGAAGGAGGTCGTCTGGACGACCGAAATGATCAACCAAAAGCGGCGTCAGGCTGAGAAAAGATCCCTGAGAGTTTCTAGCTACGGGAAAAAGGCTACCCAAAGTTTTTACCAGGCGTTGGATATGCACCCAGTGAAAGGGAAATCGGTGCTGGTGGTGGGAAGTCAGTTGCCTTGGCTTGAGGCGATTCTCTTGGCGTATAAGGCTGGGTCGATCACGACCGTTGATTTCAATAAACCGGTTGTAGATTATCCCGGGTTGAGGCTGTGGAATATTGCTGAGCTGGACGCTTCAGATGAGACCTTTGACGTGGTAGCTTCGTATTCGTCGCTGGAGCACGATGGGCTGGGGAGATATGGCGATCCGCTCAACCCAAACGGGGATCTGCAGAGAATGGCGAAGGTAATTTTGCTGAGGTGGTTGATGCTGTGGGCTGGGTGCGGTTTCCATGGTATGGCATCTGCAGAATGGGGATCTGCAGAGAATGGCGAAGGTAATTTTGCTGAGATGCTTGGTACTGAGGGGTGCGGCTTCCATGGCATGGTATGGGTTGCCTAACTATGCTTCCTACGTGTTGGCTCCCATACCCTGCTAAAAGTTACTGGTGCGTGCCTGTCCTTACCATGCTTTGTTACCCGCATCAAGCTTGTTACCCCTATCAATCCTGTTACCCCCATCAATCCTGCCATCTCCCCTCACATCATTCTATGTCTTACCTTGTGCCGCGATTTCCTCTACCATCTCCTCCGCTTCTGCCATTTTAGCCACCTCAAAAGCTTTCATTGCTTCCTGCCATCCCTCCCGGACCTTATGCTTCCAAAGCTCATAGCCCATGTGATGTCATTTGCCATGTCATCTGCCATGTCATTACCCATGTTATTTCCCATGTCATTTCCCAAGTATTTTTTCATGTGATTTGCCATGTGAATTGCCTTGTGATTTCCCATGTCATTTGCCCCGTGATTTGCCATATCATTTGCCAAGTCATCTGCCATGTCATCTGCCATGTCATTACGAATGTCATTTTCCATGTCATTACGAATGTCATTTGCCATGTCATTTGCCATGTCATGTGCCATGTCATTTGCCATGTCATTTGCCATGTGATATGCCATGTGATATGCCATGTGATTTGCCATGTGATTTGCCATGTGATTTGCCATATCATTTGCCATGTGATTTGCCATGTCCTCTTACATCCCTACCTCTTGCAGTTGTGCAGAACGAGGGCCTTCCAAGTCCTCAAGAATGCTTCTTCCTGGGTGTCCCAGTGGGCAACGGCACACTGGTCTTCAATACTCAACGCACGCACCACCTTCTCACATCTCTTCCATCCCCATTCCCCTTCCATCTCCCACATTCCCTGGCATCCCTCCTCCCCTCCTGCTGCTATGCAGATCAGGGGTCTCCTGAAGCCAGGAGGGCTCTTCTTCCTGGGCCTCCCAGTGGGCAACAACAAGCTGGGGTTTGATACTGAGCGCATGTAGCATAATCTCACATCTCGCATTCCCATCCCCTGCTATCCCCTCCTCCCCTTTGTGCCTGTGCAGATCAGGGGTCTGTTGAAGCCAGGAGGGCTCTTCTTCCTGGGGCTCCCAGTGGGCAACGACACCCTGGTGTTCAATGCACATCGGGTGTACGGCCCCATCCGCATGCCGCTGCTGCTCGACGGCTGGAAGCAGCTGGACGTGTTTGGGGTGTCCAGCCTAGAAGCCACCTACAGGGAGAACCTGGATAAAGCCAACATACAGCCTGTCATGGTGTTGACATATACTTCTTAGGACGCGTCGCATTTGTCACACTGTACAGTAAGGATCGATGTGCAGGGTGTACTCTGTACATTAACTTTGCCAATTCGGGCATGGCTATGTATCCCTGTTTCGCCTTCTTTAATTAAAAGTATCCGATCTGAACTACTCGTCATGAGCGTGTCCCCTCCGATTGCCGAGATAGGATGGCTTCAAAAGTCACATCGATTGTGCGGTTGGAGGTGCGGGAAACGAAATTGCGGCACCACCATGGCAGCAGTTTGTCGATAAGTTGGTAGAGGTCTGCTTTATCCCTCTCACTCTTGGGTACAGCCTTGTCATAGGTTTGCAAAAGTGCACAGTTGGTGGTGGTTCAGTCAGGTTCAGAGCGCCTGCACCTATTGATCAGCGGCAGTCTTGTCCATGAGCTGGTAGAGGTCTGCTCTTCGCTGTAACTTGATGGGCATGTTTTGCCTACCATGGAAATGGAGTCACATGCACGTGGATGGATACACATGCACATGGGGATGGAAATGTATGCATATGGAGATGAATACACATGCACGTGGATGAATACACATGCACGTGGATGAATACACATGCACGTGGATG